AAAATCTCCATGTGAGCATGGATTTAACAGAAAACTCAGAATTTACAAAAACTCTCAGTTCATCAAAACAGTTCAGTCAATTTCCAAATAGGCATGCTCAACTTCAGAAAAACAATGAAATTCTCATTTTCATTTCAATTCCAGAAAATCAATAAAATCCTCATTTTTATTCCATTCATGCTCAATTCCAGAAAAATAGTGAAATTCTCATAGAAATCGTCACAATTTTCATTTCAATTTAACCACACTCAAATGCTGATAAAATCAATTTAAAATCAATTTGAACATTGCCACCATCTCAAAAACAATTTAAAACATGCTTTAAAATCAAAGTGCTTTACCATGATTTACTTACCATGTATCATTAGCTTATATCTAAATAAATTATGTTAAAACGAGGATTACTATAATGTCCTAACCTCAGATTAAGCTACAATTAAAAAAAAATTGTACAGAAAATTGTTCTCGGAATCACTTTCCAAATGAAAAATGAAAACGATAAATGTGAAACAAGGATGGGAGCGTGAACTGCACTCTTTCCCAAAGGAGAATGGGATTAGTTTTACTCTGGGTGTGCTTTTACTTCAATTAATTATTTTCGAATCGCACTGGCAGCCTCACGTAGCCTGGAAAATGTGTAACAAAAATTTAAGTTAAAATTTAAATTTTTATTGAGGTACTTGTAATGTTGTAAAGGATTTTTTTTTTAAAAATTATTGTTATTATTGAATCAAACCAAGCCACCAACATGGCCAAAAACCAAAAAAAAAAAAGAAAGAAAGAAAGAAAGAAAGAAAATTCCAAGCACCTAAGATACCAAAAATAAAATAAAATAAAATAAAAAATCAGAAGAGTAAAGTTGGTTGGCTAAAGGTTGGAGCAAAGCGAAAGCGAGCAACAAACAAGAGAAATCATCGTCAACGTTCCTCTGCTTTCACTCAACCTCTCTTCCTCCAAAACAAGAAAAATCTCTCTTTTTCTCTACCCCAGTTGTAATCTTTCTCCCTTTGTATTTCCTTCATCATTTCTTTCTCTTTGAAGTAAAACAATACTTTTCTGTTTCTCTCTATTTTAATCCCAAGTATTGGAATTGGATCAAGTCAAAACTTTAAGGGAGAGAAGCTTCTTCTTGGATTCTTGTTGTGGTGGGAGGAAAGGAGGTTGTGTTTCTGCTCAACTCAACCCTCTACTTCTCGAGTATTTTTGTTTAGATATGCATAGAATTTGAGGTGGCTGAAGGTCGTATCATTGAAAATAGTTTGTGGGTTTCCCATATTGCTAAGTGTTTTGCATAATCAGAATGTTGGGTTGTGAGTGTTTCTATTGGTACAGAAGGCTTGATGAGTTCCACTTCCACTCCCCTGAGCGGCACGCTTTTTCTCTGCCTTCCCCAATTCCAGAATGGCCTCCAGGTATGCTTTCCGTTTCTCAATAATCTTTCTTTTTGAGATTGGATTCTTTGATTCAAAATATGATTGCATGAGACGGCTGTTCTTTCATTCTTTCAAATTTTCCGCCATCTTTTTTTTTTCTTTGTTTAATCTATTTTTATATTTATGAAAAATTTTATGGATGATGTGATGAAGGTAAAGCTAATAATCTAAGGCATTAGAAGCAGTCTAAGAGGAATTTCAATCAGAATATGCCTTTTGTTCCCTTTCTCTCTTCATATATATCCTTTAATTTGGTGGCCTCAAACTATGTTTTTATTTCTTCTAATTTAATGGTTTATTTGCATATCTATATGGAATGGTTCCCCAAGTTATACTTTGCTTTAAATGTTTTAACTATTAGTGAGATCTAGTGACGTAGTTTCTTGTTAGATTAATTTTATATGTTTATACATTATTAAAATGGTTAAAATGTTCAATAAATCTCAAATAAATACTCAATAGGTCTTTTAAAATCCAAACTCAATTATATTTAATAATTTTTGCATACACATCTTCGATTCTCCTTTTAATACGGTTCTGTTTTAATCCAACCTCAACTACTTCAATAATATTTCAATTGACTTCTAACTAATTTTTTGTATATATTCGGCAATACACTAAGCAAACCTCCATTCAATTTGCTTTCCTCAATAGGAAACCTCCGTTCAACTTGCTGAGTTGCTTTGCTCCTCCTCAATTTGCTTTATTATTAAATTATTCAATTCAATGGATCTAACTTTCAAACTATTGCTACTTGGATAAGAGGCAAATCCTATTCCTAGAGAAAAGGTTGAGACAAGGATACAAACTTTGTCATTTTTCTATTTAAAGATGTGAACTGTACT